GGCAGTGTCTGGAGAGAGTTGCAGGTGTCACAGCTGGCGGAGGGGTGATTCTGTTGGTGTCTGGTGGGCAGAGGCCAGCAACGCCCACAGAAAAGACTGACCTTTCCAGAAGGACCTCTGCAGTATCTGGGGCGGGGGCATGGGGCAGAGGAAGGGGTCCCCCATCCCTCCTGGGTTTAGTCCCACCCTGCCCCTGCTCACATCCCAGGCCTCATTTTCCTAGACAGGTAAACAGAGGCTTGTGGGGGTGGGCTTGTTTTCCCTTGATCACAGTCAGCCCCCCTTCAGAGCCCTGACTGTGATGGTACCAAGTCCTTTCGGACTCACTAGCTGGGCCAGAAGGATGATGCGCTTCCTTCCCATGCAGGATGGGCTGGCTGTGTGTCACACAGGCCCAGCCGGCATGGAGCTGTTCACGCAGGCCCGCTGTCTGCTGCCCCCAGGTGCTCAGTCTTGCCCAGGACCACCCATGCTGTGACCCCAGGAAAGTCGGGCCACACAATGCTGTTGTCATTCCTCCATTCCATCCCCAGTGGCAGCTTCTCAGGGCAGAGAAGGCCCATGCTGCTAGAGCAGGTACTGGAGTGTGCTCGCCTTGCCTGGGTGGCCCTTTGGGTGAAGAAGGGCAACATTCTGTGCCAGTTGGCTCTTTCTGCTCCATGGTTTTCTCTGTAAACTCTCCTAGCAGCCTTAGTGTGGTAGTTGTGCACAGCCACCATGTGTCCCTATCTGCCCACCCCCAGTGCTCTCCTTTCCAGTGCCGTCTTCTTTTTTTTTCCTGGTACTGGGGATTGAACTCAGGACCTTATGCTTGCCAGGCAGGCATGATGCCACTGAGCTACATCCCCAGGCCCTCCAGTGCCATCCCTTGACAAAGCCACTGACCTAGTCCTTTCGTCCGTTCGCTCCTCAGTCCTCTTTGGTTGGCTTTGGCTCCATCTCTGCCTATGACTGCCCATCCAGCATCCCATCTTCCTCTTCTTGGCCAGGCCCAGTGGGTGTTTACCAGTGTTACTGTCCCTCCTTCAAAGCCTCACATCTCCCTTGGTGACCATGCATGTCCCCCAGGTGTGTCCAAGCAGGCGGGTTCTCCTGTCTAGCCCTCTCACTGCACATGTGTCTCCTAACCTCTCGCCTCTGACGTGGGTGGGGTGCTCCTAGGAAGACTTTACAAGGCTCATGTCTCCAAGAGGTTGGGCTGTGTGCCCATACCCTTCTCGACTCCAGCTGCCACCTCTGCTGAGAAAGAATGTCTGGGTTTCTTCAGATTAGAGCTCCTATCCAGCCACAGACACAGTCACCCACACTCAGCACTGCAGGGTCGAATGTCTTCCTTTTGTACCATGCTGAGCTTCAAACCCAGGGTCTTTTGCACACTAAGCAAGCACTGTGCCACTGAACCACTTCTACAGCCCCTCAGATGTCCTCGTGTCCCATCTTGTCCCCTCTGCATCCCGTCTGAGAAGGGAGCCCCCTGCCAGCCATCTAGCCAGATCCATCTACCCTGTTGCCCATGCCCTTACTGGGTTGGGTACCCATTTTTTTTTTTGGTACTGGGGATTGAACTCAGGTCCTTGCGCTTGCGCAGCAGGTGGCGAAACCACTGAGCTAAATCCCCGGCCCCCACATTTTTTGTTGACATAGACACAGGTATCCAGTGCCTGGTGCTTGCTGGCACCCTCTGCCGGTGGGCCAGGGCAGTTCTGGTCACAAGTGAAGGGTGCTGTGTCACACCCTGCTCCGCACTGCACTCTTGGTGGTTGCTTTCAGTCTCTTTCAGTTGGGACAGGGTGTGGGAGATGTGTACAGGATCCACTCAGACCCCTGGTGGGGACCCTTTAAGGTCCTTGCCTGGCAGTGTGGGCAGAGCTGAAGAACTGGGCTGTGGGCCAGTTTCCTTGGAGGAGGAATAAAAGTGTTGATGGTGTGAAGTTGGACTCGGAAGTCGTCAGCACCGTGTGCCTGCAGCTTCTATAAGCAGCAGGGACAGTGGTCCCGAGGGCTTCTGCAGGTGTCACACACAGGCACGCACACAGCCACCTGTCTGGCTTCCCAAGACTGGGAAGCTGTCCTTGGAACAGAGGTGCCCTCCTGTTGCTCTCTCTGCTTAAACCTTGACCTCCTGAACAGCATCGCCATCATCCCTCCCCTCTGGCCACCCCATGCTTCGACCTCTCACAGACCCTGGGGCCTGACACAGCCTCCTCCAGCTCCCAGAGCCAGCTTAGGGGCCCCTGCTCCTCCCTCTGGATATTGTCCTCACTGCTGGCCACCCCCAGCTTGCCCCTTGGGACAGTGACATCATATATGCAGGTGGCTCTGAGCAATCTGGCACACAGTGACCAGTGCTATCTGCTGATCTCTGACCAGTTGATACCGGAGCAAAGTGGAGGCAAGAGTGGGCAGCATGGGCATGGAAACTGGCTGACCCAGTGACACCACGGCTTCCCTGGCCCTTCCCTCCTTGACTTCCATTTCATCTCTTATCTAAACTAAAAGCTTAGGATCTGTGGCTCCCGCCAAGATGTTCTCTGGAAACCACATTGAATTTAGAAAAATAGAACTTTTTTTCCTTTTTTTGGCATACTACTTGAGATTGAACCCAGAGCCTTCACACTGAGCTACAGTACCCGCCCCTTTCTTTCATTTTTCTGAGACAGTTTTTTTTTTTGGTACCGGGCATTGAACTCATGACCTTATACTTTCAAGGCAGGCACAGTGCCACTGAGCTAAACCCTCAGCCCCAACACAGTCTTACTAAATTACTAAATTGCCCAGGCTGGGCTCAAATTTAAGCCCTTCTGCCCCAGCCTTCTAGAGTGCTGCTAGGTTGCACCATCACACCCAGCTGAGAGAACATTGTTGAGTGAATGAAACAAAGCGCAGGGTGTGCTCTAAGGGTCTGCATGGACATCGCTATTCTAGGCAGGAAGCAAAAGACATGGGTGGCGGTGACCTGTTGTCTATTTAGAAAGAACTCTGACCCTTTAAAGAAGAGCACCTCAATGAGGTTAATAAGAATGGATTTGTGACCCCACTTCAGACCTGACAGAATCAGGATGAACAGAACTGGCAGTGTTGGACCTGAGTCCCAGGCAACATGGCCGTCACCACTGGGGCCAGCCAGGGCCACTCCCCTCAGGCAAGGTCTTGAGCCTTGCTGTGTTTCTCAGGCTTTGGTGTCCTGGTTGTTGGGTCTGGCGGTAAAGGCATGGGTCAGCATCGGGCTGTCACCTACTGCACATGTCACAGAAGTGCCTGGGAGAAGCCCACCTGACTGTGAATTGTCTCTCCTCAGGGACCTGCAGGCCCTCCAGTTGGGTACCAGAACCAGACCTCCGGGCACTGGCTTGAGGATAACCTGAAGGTGCCTGTTTTGGGGGAGAGCAGTGGCTGACCCCCAGGGGCACCCACGTTCCTGTGACAGCCTTGCCAGGGCCCAGGCCACCCTAACCAGCTGGTATCACATGGAGCCTCTGGGCGAGAAGCCAGGAGAGGCGGATGGGCTGCGCATCACACCCCAGCTGCTGAAGTCACGCACAGGTGAGTTCGCCCTGGAGTCCATCCTGCTGCTGAAGCTGCAAGGCCTGGGGCTGGCGGACCTGGGCTGCTTGGGAGAGTGCCTGGGCCTCGAGTGGCTGGACCTGTCAGGCAATATGCTCACCCAGCTGGGCCCGTTGGCTTCCTTGCGTCAGCTGACCGTGCTCAACGTCTCCAACAATCGGCTGACCGGGCTGGAGCCGCTGGCCACCTGTGAGAACCTGCAGAGTCTCAATGCTGCGGGCAACCTGCTGGCCACCCCTGGCCAACTGCAGTGCCTGGCCGGGCTCCGGGGCCTTGAGCACCTGCGCCTCCGGGACCCTTTGGCCCGGCTCAGCAACCCACTGTGTGCCAGCCCCTCCTACTGGGCCTCTGTCCGGGAGCTGCTGCCCGGCCTGAAAGTCATCGATGGGGAGCGTGTGAGTGGCCGTGGCAGTGAGCTCTACCAGCTGTGCCGGGACCTGGACAGCTCCCTGCGCCCAAGCTCCAGCCCCGGCCCCAGGGCCACTGAGGCTCAGCCCTGGGTGGAGCCCGGGTACTGGGAGTCCTGGCCTTCCCGGAGCAGCTCCATCCTGGAGGAGGCCTGCAGGCAGTTTCAGGACACGCTGCAGGAGTGTCTCGACCTAGACTGCCAGGCCAGCGACAGCCTGGCCAGGGCTGAGCAGGCCCTCAACCCTGAGGGCTCCGCCTCTTCCTTTGTCTTCTGAATGTGCCCTGGCACCTGGGATAGCCTGGCCGGTGGCTTCAATGCCCGAATTTCCTTTCCTTGCTTCTGCATGCTGGCCTGACCCTGACCCTGCATGCTCAGGTACGGGTTCATCTGTCCCTGTCCTGAGAGCCGCACCTCCCCTTCCCCCCTAACCCCCAGGACACTCTCCACCCTCCCTGCACATGGGGTAGGACTCAGCTCTCAAGCATCCTCTGGCAGGTTTAGGGTTCTCACGGGCAGCTGGCACATATGCTGTGAGACAGGAGAGGGGTGCTGAGCCCATGACCACAGCAGCTGCCACTCCTGGCTGCCACAGCCCAAGACTTGGTGCACAGGGTTACTTTTGCCTAAGGCTGCAGTGAGGAAGGCAGAGGTAGCAAGCTGGCCGGACCTGCAGAGCACAGGCGCGGCTGGGAGCTGGAGTGCACCGACCTTCCACATCTGCCTGTGTGGACAACGACAGTCCACTGTGCCCAGGCCCATGCCTCCCTGGAGCCTTCTCTGCACTCACCCCAGTTCTACTAAACAGCTCTTGAGTTTGTCTGCATCTATGCCTGGGCTGTGGGGCCTCTGCCTCTGGTCCTGCACAAGAGCTCCTCTTACCCCACGTGCACCTGTTGGGGACACACACACACACACACACACACACGTCTGCACACGTACATGCACACACACACCCCCCGCCGCCCTTTTTCATTTTGCTTCCTACAGGTTGAGCTGAGTGCCCAGAGCAACACGTGGAGTGCAGGGAACAGGCTTGGAGAAGAGTTTTATTGATCTTGGGTGTGATGGATCTTCTGTCTGGCAGGGTGGGGCTGCCTGCCGCTGTCCAGGAAGCCAGCTGAGATTCTAGAGAAAAGGAACAACCTGAGATTTGGTGCCATCTCTTCTCAGTCCCAGCTGTCTGCCAGGCTCTCACCTGTCTCTTTGTCCCTGCCACCCGAAGCCCAGGAGCAACCCAGTCCCTGCCCTTGGCCACCTACCAGTCCAGGGTTCAGCTAGAGGGCAGTGCCTTGGAGAAGGCAAACTGTCCAGGGAAGTAGAAGCTGTGGGGGTCCTCGCCAGCCCGCTGCACCTTGCTGCACTGAGGCTCCTGGGGCTCCTGACAGCACAACAACTGGTCAGGCAGTGCCAGGAGGGCAGCAATGCCCCAAAAGTGCCAATACCTCTAGGGAATGCCCACCATGCCTAGAGTCCCTTCCTGCTCCTCCCCCTCATTCAAGCTTCCTCTAGCTTGCTCACCATTTCCAGCCACCTCCCCAGCCTCTGCCCTGCATACCTGGCCTTGGGTCTCTATGGGACAGTGGACCATCCGGCCCAGAACTGTATGCTTAGGGTCCAGTTTGATGCAGGCCAGACATTTCCGCTTCCTCTGGGGAGAGGGAGGGTGGTGAGGGAGGCATTCAGCACTACAAGGGTGGGACTGGGGACTGTCCACAGTGGGGACCCGTACCCCTGGCAGGCTGTGGTCTGGGAGACAATGGATCATGCAGCCCAGCTCAGTTCAGCATAGCCCACCCCAGGACTGAGAGAGTTGAGAAGTCAGGTGGGGGTAGGAATCCTTCCTACATGTTTGCGTACCCATGTGCATTCAAGTGTGTGGCACATGTATACAACCCTATGTAAGGGTGTGTGCACGGATGGGTACAGGTATATATAAAGGCAACAGTCGCCCCAGATGAGCTCACTCCACCTACTTCCATCAGAATCTCTCCCCTGTGGTCTATTCAGTTTGTTGACATTTTCTTGTAAAACTTGATTTGAATACAAGGATTCCAGAAACACGAGGTTTGAAAATCACTGCTAAAATCCAGTCCTCTCCCCTTAGCAGATGGAGGAAACCCACAGAGCTCAGGGTTGGTGCTCCCAGAGGGGGAACCGGAATCCCAATGCCTGCACCCCTAACCCAGGGCTTGGCCTGTAACAGAGGCTGTGCCCCTGATCACTGTGAAACCCTGCTGTGAATCAGCCATGGCCCAGGGCAGGCGCTGGACAAACCCATGCCCTGGCTTTTCCAGCTAGGAACCTCACTCAGATAAAAGCAAGTCCTTCCTTTCCTTCCCCACCCCAGCCCTCCTTCCCTGCCTAGGCCAGGCCAGCCAGCCTCATGGTGGCTCCCAGGGACCCGTTCCGCCTCCAGGGAGTCCTCACAGTGGGGGCCCCTTCCCCAGGGCTTCTTCCTGGACCTCCTGGTTCCCTGTGTCACACACTCACCCCATTGGGCTTGACTTTGCACTCCAGTTTCTTCCAGTCCTTTTTCCGGCAGCCCGTCTGCTGGAGCCTGAATTCCAGCCGTACGAAGGTGCCTGCTGGGAAGGGCTGCGGACGACAAGAGGCCTCTGCTCTGAGCTGGGCGCTGTGACCCGGCCCTGCCCCCACCGTGCACTGCGAGTCAGTGCAGCTGAGGAGGTGGCTTTTCTCCTGCCAGCTTCCCGGGAATGTGCTGGCCTCCCGGGTGTAGCCCTTGGCCTCCCAAGCTCGCAAGGCCACTAACCATGGCCATGGCGCTCTCCACGCTGGTCTTCTGGAAGGCCCACTGCACAGGCGGGTGTTTGTGGAACTCCTCCAGGGCCACTTGCAGGCCCCTGTGCTGGACCTCGGTGAGCTCAACCCCACCCACGCCCGCAGTGCCCAGCCATAGGGCCAGAGGGATCAGCAGCCGCCACATGCCTTGGCCCTGAAAAGACACTGTGGTGCTCGCTTCTTCCTGCCAGCTGGGGGCTGCTGGCTCCTGGAGGGGGACGGGAAACATGGCCCTTTCCCGGAATCACCCCTGTGTTCGCCTGCGGCCCTGGCCAGCAGAGTTCCGGCGGAGTTCCCTGCCAGCAGCCCCTCTTCTAACCCATTCTCTCCCCTACTGCTGCCCCTGAGGGCCTTCTCTGCTCCCCGTGTCCCTTCTAGCCCTCAGTCCAGAACCTCCCTGCTTCAGAGCCCACACCCCTGCCCAGGCCCAGGCTAGCAGCAAGGGAGGGAGGGGAGACAGCTGGAGGCCACACATCTCTGGGAGGAGTAAACAGGCAGGGAGGCTGCTTTGGGAGGGTGCTTAACCCTCCCTGCACTGGGGCTGGTGCTGCCATCAGCCCTGTAACCCCCTAGAAATGGGGTCCTTCCTGCCAGGCCCCAGCTTGCTGGCCTCCCTCCTTTGCCTTCTTTCTAGGTCCTTTGCCACCACCTCCCTCCCTGTCCCCCAGCGAGCTCTGTCTGGACAAGTGGTCTTGGGACTCACCAGAAAATCACCACAGCAGAAAGTGAGGCCTTCAGTGGACAAGTGCCAGGACTGTCACCTTGAAGCAAGGGTTTTACATGTGTGGCCCTGGGCCCTTCTGCCACCCACCACCTTCCCCCGCTCTCACTCCTCACCTCCTTCCCCGTGACTTCGGGGTCTCTCCCAGCCTTCCCTGCTGAGAACTTGGCTGGCTGTCCGCCCCTTCCCGTCCCTCCCCCGGCCTTGGCACCACCCTCCCCCGGCACCCCGCCTGCTCCAGCCCCACCTCCTGGGCCCCCTCCAGCTGCTGCTGCTCCTCCCCCTCTGCCAGCTCTGACCCTGACCCTGACCCTGGCCATGCAGTCTGCTCACCAGGAGCAGGAGGCCTAGAAGTCCAGTAGGCCCTGGTCCCACCTCCCCCTGGGCCACCACCACCGTCACTCAGTGAGACAGTCCCAGTCCCCGAGTGGCTTCCTGTGGCTTCACCACTACCCAAGTAAGGCTGCCCTTTCTTAGACCCTAGCTGGGTGGAATTCCCAGTTCCCTAAAATCTTTATTTCAGGAAATTTTTCCCAGAAATACAGAAACCCTCAAACCATAGAAGATCATGAGGAGTCACCCCTGCTTTCCACCCCCTAGTGCCACACTGAGAAGGTTTCTCCACGGGCCTGATTGTGGTGTCCAGGGTCCAATCTCCACCCTGCATGCTGCTTTGCTTGGCTGTTCCTTATGTCCAGTCCTTGGGACACAGAGACCACCGTAGGGACAGATGACAAAGTCCTGGGCCTTTAACCTGGTAGACATTAAAAGGTGATTTGTGTTCTCTTCTGAGGTGGTCAGTGACCCAGAGTCTCGACCTGCAGATGTCCCATGGGTTACTAAAAGCAGGATGAAGCTGGTCACCATTGCCTTCATTTTATGTTTCCTTTATTATCTTAAAACTCTGGGTCAGCTCCCTGCCCAGCTCTGAATGCAGGTAGGCTAATCATTCAGGAAGTGTCAACTGGAAGGTTGATTAGCCCTAAATTCACCTCACCTGTTTCATCCTACTTCAACACTGAGAACACCAAGATAAAAGTACAGTGGACCCTTAACTTATGAACATGATTGGTCCCCAAGGGCTGGTTGTAACTAAGTACAGCTGAGATCTGGACGTTCACTTGGGTACATATGTATAGATAACAAGAGGCAGATGAATCTTCCATTAACCTAATTAACCCAGGTTGTTCATATGTCAGGCCAGTCATAACTTGAAGGTCCACTGTAACTCAGGTATTTCTAAGATTTTCAGGATCATCCAACCACCAGCTCTTACAATCCCCACTTCCAGACCCCTCTAGAGCAGTGGTAGTGAACATACAGTATTCATGATGCATCAGGCTGTTTGTTATCATTGAAAGCTCTAAAAGGTTCACCATCATTGCTCTAGAGCAATCTCTAGAAGTCTCCAGCTATTGTCCTAATCCTGTAATCACCTCAGGATCCAGGAAAAGCGGAGCTTCACAAACCATCCCATGGTGAGGTCAGCTGTCAAGCAGAGAAAATCACCTCATAGAACCAAGTTGCCCCTCAAGCATGAACTTCCTCTGGAGCAAGGACCAGGACTGACATCATGATCAACCAGAACCCAGCTCACCATACCACCCCATAAAACTGGTCCTCAGTTCTTTGTTGGTAGCCAGTCTCACCCACCTCTTCAGAGTTGTGACCTGTTCAGTTTCTCAAAAGGAAGCCATTTTCCTATCTTGTCTTACGTTCCTTTGTTAGGGCACTGGCTTGATCTTACTTTTCCATTATTTTCCTGTAGGCTTGTGCTGAATGCCTGGGTTTTCATTTCTATTATCGCTGAAGCAAGGACCCACACCCACCCATGGTGCTGGGTGGCAGCACCCTCGGGGCTCATACCTGCATCAGGTATGGCCAGGGGTTGTCCCCAGGCTGGGTTTGAGTGGTCCCAAGGCTGAAATAAGAAACCTATCCCTGGGCCAGGGATTTAGCTCAGTGGTTTTGCCGCCTGCTGCACAAACACAAGGACCTGAGTTCAATCCCTGGTACCAAAAAAAAAAAAAAAAAAAAGGGAAAAAAAAAGAAACCTATCCCACCTTTTTGAAATAAGTTTGCAGATTCACTGATTCCCATCTCAGGAAATGAATTTTCAGGATGCACCAGTAAAAGAGACATGCAAAGGGTTTATTCAAGATTTTAGGATGCATTCTAGAGTAGCATGCAGGCACTCATATAATGAGGCGTACTGGCCACATTTAAGGGGTGTCCAAGATGGGTGATCCAGGATGTGTATTTCTACTGTCTGTGAGGTTACATATGTTTGGAGTTGAGATCTGCTGCCCACCAATATTGCTGCTTCCTGAAGATGGAAATGGCAAGTTAGGAGCCCAGATTTACAGACTTATTATAAAAGGACCTTTAGATTTTTTTCTTTTTTTTTTAGTGAGTTTTCTGGAAGGGAAAAAGGCTTGAGTAACTTTTGTGTCTTGAAGCTGTAGTTTTTCTTTTTTAAGTATAATTTTAAAAATCTTGATTTCCTTGTATCCTTTCTACCTAGTTTTTATTTCTTCTATCCTACCTCAGGGTGAGGAAGGGAGGTTGTCAGCAGGGCGGTGGCTGTAGGGAGGGAGGAGCTGGCCTGGCTGTTTATAAATTGCCATGTAAATTCACCTTGGAGAACCAGGTGTGGTGGTGCTCACTTGTAGTCCCAGCTACTCCAGAGGCTGAGGCAGGAAGATTGCTTGAGTCCAGGAGTTTGAGCCCATTATCAGGTTGGGCAAAGGGAATGTGAGACAGGGAGCTCAGAGAGGCAGGGAACCCTACTGCAGAGAAGTCACAGGTGTGGCTGTGTGAAGGGGCAACTTAGGGCAGTCAGGAACTCAGCCCTAGTAGAACCTGGCAACCGGGACAGGATTTCCCTACCATGACGGCTAATGATGTTCCTGGGCATCCTGTGAGAAAAGCACCATGATCTGCCTCACGTATTCAAGGTGTTCTGAACTTAGTTTTCCAATTACTGAACAACTTCCTTTAATATTCCCAACCACATTAACAAACTAGTTTATCATTTTTTAAAAGCAATTTAACTTTGAAACAGAAGCATATCCATTTTTTACCCCCGGTACCAGGGATCGAACTCAGTACCTTGCACTTGTGAGGCAGGTGTGGTACCACTGAGCTAAATCTCCAGCCCCAGCATATCCATTTTAAAACTAAAGCTGTCCTTCGGCCGGGGATTTAGCTCAGTAGTTCCGCTGTCTGCCTCAAAAGCGCAAGGACCCGAGTTTGATCCAAGGTATCAAAAAAATAAAAAATAAATAAAATAAAACTAAAGCTGTCCAAGTAAATACACTGACTCTTGTGTCAACTCAATATAATTAACAAATTCAAAATGACATCACATAAATCCAAAAGAACACCAAATATTTCAATAATATCAAAGTGGGTTAGGGTTTTAGCTCAGTGGTACAGCGCCTGCCTGGTAAGCATGAGGTCCTGAGTTGGATCCCCAGTACAAAAAAACAAACCAAAAACCAAATATTATCAATGTTCTTCACATTATTTTGGTAATTTTTCTAGCCAATTTACATAGTGCAGCCTAGTGTAATTAAACCTCTGCATATTGATTCATGTGAGAAAAGTGTGTAAAATCATAGTTATTGATTACTTGGAAAAGATTTAATTTGAAATTCTTGTATTTGTTTGACTAGGTCACAAGAGAGCTTTCTTCTTCAAGCTTCAAATTTTGCTCAGTTTTATGTAGTATGGTATTGGGGAGAAAACTTACAGTGACTTTCTAAATCTTATTAACTACTTGGTAAACTTCCTTTTGTTCTGGAAAGTCTTGGAGTTAGTTAAGTAATAGTACAGTAAATCTTAGGGAAACTCTTCCACACTGAACCACTGAGGTTTCACTGTCTTCTGTTTCTTTTGATAGGAACTGGCTCCTAGCATTTTCACATAAGTATTGAATGATCTTAGTGGCTGTGCTTATGACAGTTGCATAGACTTTGTTTCAGAAAACTTGAGGACATATTCACCACACTGTGGTGTCACAGTTCATGACTGTGGCAGGCATAAAGGAAGAGAGATTACTTGGAGTCAAGGTCCAGTTCAAACTCCAAGAAGGCCCTGAGGGACTGCCTTTAACTAAGGCCCCTCAGCATGAGAGTCTCGTGCATACAGCCCTGAATTAAAGCTCCTGTGGCTTTGTTTGTTTGTTTGTTTTGAGACAGGGTCTTGCTTTGCAGTTCAGGCTGGCCTTGAGCTCACTATGTAGCCCAGGGTGGACTCAAACCCACAGCAATCCTTCTGCCTCAGCCTCCCGAGTGCTGGGATGGGATTACAGACGTGCGCCATGATACTGCCTGGCTGCTTCTATAGCTTTTTATTGATAGAACCAGGAAGCAAGGATAAAGGACAAAGGAAGGATGTCTGTGCAGGAATTTGTGTTGGGAGAAAAGGAAGGACAGGAGAAGGGCAGGGTAAAGTCAGAGTGATCTGTTACATGACTGACTTCAGGGCCAATCTAAGTCATAGATCTGAGTATGGGGAGGAGAGGGCCAGAGCATTCATTCCTTCAGGTAATGTGTTTGGTCCTGCTTGGACTTGTGGCCCTGTAGGCTCTCTTTTCATCTCTAGCTATGCATTCCAGGAGGTTTTGGGTGTGTGGCCCTAAAAGTCCCTTATCTCTGCATATCCATCTAGTACACACCTCCTGTGCCTCCACACTATGGAATGAGAAATGAAGCAACATAGGAAACATCAGTCTAGCTTATGTGTGTGTTTGTGTATGGTTCTGGGGATTGAAACCAGGACCTTTGGACTAAGCTATACTCCCAAACCTTTCTTGTTTTTTTATTTTGAGATAGGGTCTTCCTAAGTCACTAAATTGCCCAGAGTGGGCTGAAGCTTGAGATTCTCCTGCCTCAGCCTTCTAAGTATATTGGGATTACAGGCATGCAACACCATGCCTGGCTCAGTCTCTTTTAAAATTCTAACACCTCAGTCATACTAGCTGAATATCAAATGTTCCTAGACTACCTGTAGTCTAGGTGGCTATGACAGGTGGGTGTCATATTGGATAGTGGGATAGAATAATGTGTTAGAAATTACACCAGTGAAAAATTAAAGATAAAAACTGAATGATGGGTATTCTACTGCATGTATGTTTGCAGAGGCATGGAAAATTTCTAGGAGGAAAAGCAAGAAACTTCCAACAGTGGTT